AGACATGGGGACACCATATGATTTAACAATCTCTTCTATGTATAATTGGGCATATAAAGCTACTCTAAACGTGATTTTAATTGGAAGAAAGTGTACAGATTTAGTTAACACAACAACTATTACCCAAATAGAGTCATAACCTTTTGGTGAAGTAATCATGGTGATCTTTGATGTTCAGCCTTCACTTGTTGGCACACTAAAAATTGAGAAACAAAGTTTGTCACGTCTTTCTTCATTTCACTTTGCCAATACAATTGTTTCAAGTCTCAATATATTTTAGTTGCACTCGAATGAACTGTGTAGGCAGAATGATGGCTTCTTTACAATTCCTTAACGTTAGGTACACTCAACCTATCATCGAACCTTAAAATCCCATCTGACCAAATCGAAAATTCTGATGTTTCCCCATCCTTCACTTTTGTTATGATCTTGCACAGAGACAAGTCTTCTCCCTGAGATTTCTTAATCATATCCATTAAGGAAGATTGGATTCGAACATGAGCAACAAACGAGTTTGACTCCCTAATCTCAAATTTTATCCTTTGCCCTTTTAACCTATAAATATCTTCCATTTAGGGTCTCCTTACATCAAATATATGAGCTAGACTGCTCAAAGACTTCCTATTCAAAGCATCTGCCACTTCGTTAGCCTTCCTCGTATGGTATAGGATAGTGAAATTGTAATCCTTTAATAACTTAATCCACCGATGTTGCCTTAAGTTAAGATTCATTTACTCGAAAATATATTTAAGCCTCTTATGATCCATATAAATTTTGTAGGTCTCTCCATATAAAGACTCCAAATCTTCAGGTCAAATATTATCGCCATCATCTATAAATTACGAGTAAGATAGTTTTGCTCATGCTTCTTATGTTGTCTAAAGGCACAAGATATGACTCGATCGTGTTGCATCAAAACATATCCCAATCCACCTCTAAAAGCATTACAATAAATTGCATATCCACTAGATCCAGATGGTAATGCTAGCATTGGCGCTAAAGTCAAACTAGTCTTCAACTTTTTAAACTTCCTTCGCAAGCTTCAAACCAATGAAATTTCACATTCTTTGTTTTAGCTTAGTTAAGGGAGTTGTTATCTAAGAAAATTCCTTGCCAAACATAAAAAGCTACGAATCTTTGTGACCATGGTTGACCTTGGCAACTGCTTAATTGCTTCCACCTTCTTTGGATCTACTTGATTTCCACCACCTCACAGTACATGTCCTAAAAATGTCACACTCTTCAAATTTGGCATAAAGTTGATTCTCTTGTAAAGTCTGCAAAACTATCTGAAGGGGTTGCTCATGCTCTTCTTTACTCTTTGAGTATACGGAAATGACATCCATAAATACATTAACAAATTGACCTAAGAAGGTTTAAAAGACTAGATTCACCAAGTCCATGAATGTTGTTGGAGCATTTGTTAAGCCGAAAGACATGACCAAGAATTTATAATGTCCATAATGGGTTTGAAAAACAATATTCAGTATATCGTTCTCCCTGACTCTCCGTTTGTTCCCAACCACAGATCAATCTTACAGAAGAATTGTACACCATCGAGTTGGTAAAACAAATCATCTATTTGGGGAAGATGATATTTATTGCGAATTGTCACCTTATTTAATTGTCGATAGTCTATGCATAACCACATCTCCCCATCATTTTTCTTAATGAAAAGGACTGAAGCTCCCCAAGGGAAACTACTTGGTCGAATAAGACCGTTATCCTGTAAGTATTTTAATTTTGCAAGAGCCATATGATAAGAAGAAATTGATATTGGTGTAGTACTAGCAATTACATCAATACAAATCAATTTGTTTGTGCGGGGCTAATACAAACAATTCTTTGGGAAGGAAACTCCTTAGTAATTTGGTCAGTAATTTATCAACTTCTTTTTTTTTTTTTTTGGAAATATTTCAATCGGTTCATTGCTTCGCAATTAACCCGATTCGGAGTGGGTTTAGGATTAAGGCTTTTAAACCCCTCCCAAAGGTGGTACTGGGGAGATTCGAACACATGCTCTCACTCCCACCTGCTTAGCTCACATGCGCCAACTGAGCTACCACTATTTTGTATTTATCAACTTCTTTATCAACTTCTTTAACTAAGGCTAGCTAATCCTAACAAACTTTATGCAACATCTATCATGCACATAAAAGGTTGATACTACATGTATTGGGCCTATGTCGTAATCGCCTTGGAATTGGAATGGTTCATCTCCTGGAATATTAAACACAACATTCTTTTGATTACAATCAATGGTAGCATGACAAGAGGCTAACCAATTCATTTTCAAGATAATATCGAACTCTTAACATATCCAATACAATCAAGTTTGCCTTAGACTTCTTGTTTGCGAGAGAAATCTCACAATCTTTAAAAACATGCTTCACTAAAATGAATTTTCCAATCGGTATAGCTACTAGAAAAGAATTATCTAGTAGAGTGGGATCTCTACCAAATCAAGTAGCCAAAGTTGGAGACAAATACAAATGTGTAGATCTTAAGTCAAACAACATACGAGCATTGGATGAGCATATTAGGAGTGTACCTGATACCATTGCATTCGATGCTTGAGGATCTTGCTGAGTCAGAGTAAATTCTATGGAAGGAATTTTTAGCAATCCACAAGGATCACTCCTTGTGTAATTAGTAAAAATAATATAATCAATGTAATTGTGACGGGTGTAGAGGCTGCTTTAAAGTTTATTGGGGAAGGTAACAAAGTGTTGAGTGACTAAACAAATCATTCATCACATCACATAAGGTTTAGAGTTCTTGTGGGAATAACAACCCCTAAGGCTTCATCCCATCATTCAAATGAGAGTTCATATGGTACAAGATGTGATGGAAATGCAAGAAATTATTAGAATATTTTTTATTCACACTATAGAACCCAAGGTACAAGTAAATCAAATGCAAAGCTTCAATGAGATAAGTTTTGACAATAACATAGCATAACAAAGCCACACAAGGAAGACATGGAATAATTTTACCGTAGTTGAAACAAAGATATAAGGCATTGCAATATGTTTTAAACGATTACAGGAATGCAAGGCAACAAGCAAAAGACTAAGAAAAGACTTAAATAAGAAAGTCAATTTTCAAGTCAAAACATAAGAATTATGAACTATGGAAAAAAAGGAACTACAAATATTGAAGAATGAAGACATCAATCCAAGACGAAGACTTATACAGGTATATTACGTAGGCTTGAATGTGAAAATTCAGGATTGATGACTTATTTGTCTCTCATCTCAAACAAATGCAATATAGATGATCGAATAACATAAACTCATATAGTGAAATCATGCATGAATGATTATGCATTTGTGTCAAAAGCCAAAAATCACGTTTTACCCATGTTCATACTAAAAAAAGAAAAGAAGAAAAAGGTGAGCTGGCAAAAATTCAAGAATATCCTGAACTTAATGACAATATCAATTCTATTGTAATGTAATTGTGAGGAAAGGAAAGTCAGGATTTGAATGTGCTTAAATTGAGGAAGATAATTGGTGGAAGGGGGAATTGGATTGGGAAATTTTTTATATATTAAATAAAAATATATTCTTTTAAGATTAATATAATTTCTATTTAAATAAAAAATAAAAAAAAATATCATTCTTAATTTCTCCTTATTTATAGTATAATTTTTTAATCAACTATATCTATTTTTATAATTTTACGTATTTGACTTAAATTTATTATTAATATATATATATATATAAAGAAAAAAAAAGTATAACTATAACTTGGGCAAAAAAAATTAAATATTGCTTTTTTTTAATAAATAATTTGCAAATGTAGTTGTTTTGAAACTATTTACGCAGGTATAGCAGTCAAACACGCTCACATAAGACGTGACCCAGAGGAGAAAGACACGTCCATGTGGGGCGTGACCTAAGTGAGCGACACGCCCACATGGAGTGTGACCAGCAATAGAGAGACACACCCAATAGGGACGTGATCAGGAGAGAGACACGCCCAACATGCTCAATATAGATGAAAAAATTAAACACAAATTAGTACATTAGATTATATTAAATTGCATTAAATGAAATTGAATTGCATTTTATTAAATAGAATTTAATTGAATTGAATTAAGTGATATTATTTCAATTAAATTAACGTCAATAAAACTAAATTAAATAACATTACATTATTCTAAATTAATTAAATTATATTTAAATAGATTAAATAAAATAACATCAAATAAAAATAATATTGCCTACTCTATTTTTTTTTACAAATTTTAATTACAATGTAGTTATTTGAAAGGTCAATAAGTTCATATGCCTCATTCCTATATAATTATGTTGTGTCTCTAACTAATATAAGCAAAGCTTGAAGCAGCCCAGTCCACTTTCACCTGTAGTCACAAGTCACACCCCATGTCGGTGTGTCTCTCACTTAGGTACTTAGGTCACGCCTCACATGGACGTGTCTCTCTCCACTGAGTCACGCCTCATGTGGACATGTTTGACTACTATACATATGTAAATAATTTCAAAACGACTACATTTGCATAATAAATTTATTAAAAAATTAATATTTAAATTTTGGGTTCACTTTTTCTACAGTTACTACAGATAAGTTATCTGCAGTAAGCTAATACGACATCGTTTTGGGACGGAAATCATGGTGTTTTGTAATTTTAATTAATTTTAGGGTTATAATAGTTTTTATATTTATAATTTTTTAAGATTTCAATACCAAAACGACGTCGTTTTAAAAATAAATGCAGATAACTTCTTTGAATGCGGAAACATTTTTCCTTTAAATTTTTTTGCCCTATCACTTATCTCTTGTAATTCATATAATTTATATTTTTTCGTTAAAATTTGTGCCCGGGGGTTTGGACCCATAACCCGAAATCTTCCAAACCGTTTGATCTGAAATCAACGGTAGTGACACTTCTGTATGACGTGTTCTTCGAAAGAAGATGAAGGTAATAAAATAACTCGTGCCTATTTATTGGGGAAGAAAAAAGAAGAAACACTAGGAGCCGGAGGGGAACTTGAAGTGATTGTGTTTGCGTGTTTTCCAAATGAATCAAACACTCTGCCTCTCTCTGCTGCTCTTCGCCGCCGCAGTGGCTGCCGGCGAAACAGACAGAAATCTCTCTTCCGGCGGGCTGGTATGGTCTACTGCCACGGAGGAGTCCGATCTAGTTCCGCCGGATGACTCCGACTCCGACGGCGTGTTTTCTTCACTGGACGGCATATTGCAGTGGGCGATAAGTATAAATATGATGCTATTTTTTTCGATTTCTTTTTAATTTCTTTTTTATGTGGGAAATCATCAAAATTGCAGTTTTAAGAACCCCTTTTGTTTAATTTGAATATTCATTACCATAAAATTTCATTTATTTTATTTATTTATCTATTCATTTGCTTTCATTAGGTCATTCTGATCCCAAGAAGTTAAAGGAATCAGCACAAGCTCGGCAACGGCTCTCACCAATTGACCTCCAAAAACGTCAAATGGAAATCAAGGTGCATGTCACGTGCACTGAAACTGATTAAATTGAAGTTTTTGTGTGTGCTGTGCTATGTTTATTATTCCCTTATGTGATGCATTGTTGGTGATTCTTGAACAGGAAATAATGGAGAAAATAAAAATGCCATCAGATGCTGAATTGATGAAAATTGCGATAAATGACTTGAATAATGTCTCTACGTCTTTGGAAGATAGGAACCGTGCTTTACAGGAGCTTCTTGAGCTTGTTGAGCCAATAGATAATGCAAACGGTTGGTGTATATGAATGTTTTCGTATACCATAATGTTTACTCTCTTAGATGATGATTGCTTTTTTTTATTTTGTTATTTAATTATTGGGTGCTTATGTGATTTCCGTTGTCTACTTTTAGTGTTTACATGAAAATATAGTGCAGTGTTCATGTGCCATTTTTGGTTGAATTGGATGCTAACATAGAAATGCTATAAGATTTTTGTTTTAATATTTTTTAAAAACTTCATGCATGCACTTGAACAGTCATTCTTAGCTATTTCCAGATAGATGCTTATGTAATTTAGAAGCCACAAAATCTACTTTCTATATTATGTCCTTTAAATCTTTCATTACTTGCTTTCACTAGAGTCTTATCGTATGATTTCTATTTGATATCTGTTAGCTGAACTTCCAAAACAAATTGAAAACAATATCACATCTTAAAACCTTTAGACCAACAAATGGAACAGATAACAATGTATGATATGTCAAGAACAGATAATAATGTGTTCTTTCTTGTTATGCATCTCTTGCCCAACCACATTATATAATGTAATGTTGAAATTCTTTATATACTTTAAAAAAGATCTTTGATTAAGAATCTTCATCTGCTTTTGTTTTGACGTGTTAGAATTTTTCTTTTCTGCGTAGTAGTGTGTTACTGATTGAGATTATCATGTCTGTCAGATTTAAACAAACTTGGGGGACTTTTGGCGGTTATGCGAGAACTTAATCACTCTGATCCGGGTATAAGGACAGTTGCTGCATGGGTTCTTGGGAAAGCTAGTCAAAATAATCCAATTGTTCAGCAACAGGTGTGTTGTTTCTTTGATAATTAATGGAATTTTAGGAAGTTCCTAAGCTTTGATGGGAGCTAAACAATAGTGTAATGCTGCCAAATTTCAACTGCCCCAGGTCTTGGAGCTTGGAGTACTCTCAAGGCTGATAAATATGGTAAAGTCTAATTCCATAGAGGAAGCCAATAAAGCATTATATGCTGTTTCAGCTTTGATTCGGAATAACTTGGCTAGTCAGGAATTGTTCTATGCTGAAGCTGGAGGTTGGATGATTCAGGTGAGCAACCTATGGTTTAATATTATTATTAACATTGTTGTCTTTATCATTATTATCATTTAGAATTACTTTGCTGCATTGGTAATTGACATTGGTAAATTTTTAGGATATTTTGAGGAATGCAAGTCTCGATATAAGACTGCGGAGGAAGGCCATGCTTCTATTGGCTCATCTAGCAGAGTATCAATTAGAAAATGCAAATAGAGATGAACCATCATTTTTCAATGACCAGGATCTGTTGAAGTCTGTGGTTGATTTAACTGCATCGACCGACCTTGATCTCCAGGAAAAGGTGATTGTTGACATGGCATCTGATATTATTGTTAAATCATTGTCAAACGGTCTACTCTGTTGTGTGACTTATGATCATATCTGTGAAATGCAAATGTCTTTGGCCCAACTCTCACCTCGTAAAACAAACATTTTGAAACACAACTCTTGCATAAGATTGTTCCACTACTATTGCATGTTTACTTATAAAATTGATCTAAGATGGTATTACTATACCTTTATTTCTGTATTTTCAATTTATGCTCTCTTAGAGGGTGATCCTTGGAGCAGCCTTATTGCTGCTCCTTGTGACCTTCCAGACACAAGTTTGAGTTTAGGAAACAGTTTTTTTCGCAAAATTACAAAGGTAAGGCTATGTACAATCAACCATTAACCCTGCCCTCGCAAGTCAATGAGCCTTGTGGATCAAGGTTTGTCCTTTTTCCCTTTGCTCTCTCAATGTGCCAACAGACTTGTTGCATTTGCGGGAGATGGTAAACTAACTTGTGGAAACACGTAGAAAAAAAAAAATTGTTTGGATTTATGTTTGAAATAAAGGAGTCTGATCAGTGGAATGAAAGTGGGGGGGTTGGTTTGAACTAGTCATTCACAGTTGTTCTTTATTTCTATTTATATGCACCTTCATTAAATCTTCTCTGCACAAATGACCCCTTTTGGTGTTCATGTTGAGCTTTTTTGTTTTGACTTCTGGGATGTTGTATTAAGCAGGCTCTTATCGCGATTAAGAGTCTCTTGCAACTAAGGACTACTGAAGCTCGGGTTTTCAGGGACTTCTGTGCTTTAGGCGATGCCCTGAATAGAATGAAGCAGTTGTTGCATGAATTGATGGCGGATGAATATGAAAGAGACTACGCGATGGATGTGGAAAGTCTTCGTACTGAAGTGGAAGACATTTTTCATAGAAAGTTGGCAAAGCAATTATATGAGTTGTGACATACCCTGAGATTATGGTGTTGAGCTTATATCATATCCTGTTTCTAGAGCCTACGTTTCTCACAATTTTGATGTATGCACGTTTGACGTATTAATAATAATTTTATAGGTGTACATGTTAATACCCGCCTATTCTACTAGCATTTGGTGATTTCTGATTTGAATGGTAGTTTCCCGTTTGATTTTGTTGTTTTTATATAAATTCAAATTCAACAAGTGTATTTTATCAAGTATTATAAAAAGCCATTTAAATTTAATAGAAATATAAATTTGAAAATCCATATTTTTAAAATTAGTTAAATAATAATATGACATTTTTACTATGAAAATGTAAGCAGATAAAAAAAAAAATAAGCATAAAGCATAATAAGACAACCAGATCATAAAACGTAAACAGAGATCGCGGACTTTTGCATCATGTTCTCCTATGAGTTTTTATTTTTATTTTTTAAGCTTCTCACACTACTCCTTTTTTCTCTTCTGCCATGGAGGGCGAAGCACAATTGAAGGGGGTGATGGTTTCTCATTGTCATTGCAAAATAAGCATACAGCATTGGGCAAAGATGTTAAAGGGATAAGGTTAAAGGAAAGGTACAACGTTGGGCAAAGATGTTAGTTTTACACAATTGGATAAGAAACTCTATCAATGATGTCGGTAGTTTTTTTTTTTGTACAATATAATCTAATTATAATAATTCGTAGGGTGCACGACTATTGGGATATTAACAAGAATTTCATCTTCAGATTGGCTAAGTTTATAGCTGAACCAGTTAAGTTAGATATGCAGAGTAATTATTTGTCACAATTGATGCTTCTAAAGCTTTGAAATCTCATACTCGATTTAATGGCCATAGGCAGAGTGATAGACTCAATTTATATCAAGGAAGAAGAAAGGGAGAAGAAGGGGTTGCAAAGAACAGAGAAGAAGTAATTTTTCTTATTTCATCAATCAATATCCGTTACACTAGTGTTTCCCCTTTTATACCTTTAATGAATCTCAACAACAACAAAAAGTAAAACAACAATATGTAACTAACTCACTACCTGTTAAGGACCGACTAATGATACACCCACATGTACACAATCGTTACTGTTGATTATGCTTAATCATCTAATCTCCTTGGTCTTCTGGTCACTCTCTTGGATCTTCTTGCTGCGATGGATCTCTCTAATTCTTGTCCACCCGGTTCCACTTCCTCTTCCATACTTGCATGTAGATCTGGTTCCAACTCTCTTTCCTCAGTTGTTGTCAGTATTGTTTCCATAGCTTCTGTAGTTTGATGTCCTTCACTTGGGCTTTGATTGCTGACTTGGGTGGTTGAGTCATTCAGCTCTTCTATTGGGCTGGTGGTTGGATCATTCAGCTTTTCTATTGGGCTGTTGCACATTGGGCCTGTATCAATACCTCCTCCATTAAAATCAACCTTGTCCTCAAGGTTGAAATTATGATACTGGTTAGAGAACTCATCCAAGGCCTCCCATGTTGCATTCTCTAGTGACATACCAGACCATAATACTTGCACTTGTTGAACCAGAGTACCTTCCAGAGACGTAGTACGGGTTGCTAGTATCTGTTGAGGCTCCAAAACCGGCAGTCCTCCTTGAAAGCACTCGGGCAGGGGAAAGGGAACAATATTGTGATTTCCCTTGAATAGTTTCAGCAAAGAAACATGAAAAGTATGATGTATTTTAGCATGTGGAGGTAATGCTAACTTGTAGGCAACCTTTCCTATACGTTTCAGAATTGGAAATGGCCCAAAATATCGCTTTGCTAATTTATGGGAAGTCCTGTAAGCCACTGAAGATTGTCTATACGGTTGGAGCTGAACCCAAACAAGATCTCCCACCTTATAGGTAATATCCCTTCTATGTTTGTCTGCATTTCTCTTCATAGTTTCTTGGGACTGTAACGGATTCTCTCTTAGCTGGTGCAAAACAGCTTGTCTGTCAACTAATATTCTATCTACTTCAGCCACTGTAGCAGTAGAATTTAAATAGTCCAAGACAGAAGGAGGTTCACGACCATAGACAGCTAGAAAAGGAGTCATACCAGCTGAATTATGATAAGTAGTATTGTAACAATACTCTGCCCAATGTAAAATCTTGGACCACTTCTTTGGACTATCAGCAACAAAGCACCTAAGATATTGTTCCAAAACTCTATTGACCACCTCAGACTGGCCATCCGATTGTGGATGATAAGCAGTGGTACGTCTGAGCTTGGTTCCACTGAGTTCAAATAACTCAGTCCAAAATTTGCTAAGGAACAATGGGTCTCTATCTGAAATCAGAGACACAGGAAGCCCATGTAATTTGCACACAATCTGTGAAAACAACTCAGCCACCTTGACAGCAGTAATTTTTTTTGGTAATGCTCCGAAATGTGCCTGTTTAGAGAACCTATCCACTACCACTAGAATAGTGGTATAGCCATAAGACATTGGTAGGCCAATCACAAAGTCGAGTGATAAGTCTTCCCAGATTCGGGTAGGAAGTTGTACAGGCTGCAATAGACCAGCAGGGGCCTGGGTTGAATACTTTACTTGTTGACACACAACACATGAATTGACAAACTCCTTCACAGCCTTCTTTAGTCCAGGCCAAGTAAAACTGGCAGAAGTTCTGGCTAAAGTTTTTTGAATACCTGTGTGACCACTAGCTAAAGAAGAGTGATTTTCGTGGAGGACCTAGTTCACTAGGGAAGAGTTAGGATCAAGTAATAACTTGCCTTTGCTCAATAATAACCCATCACGAATCTCCAAGTCTGGATGGGAAGCGGGATCCTCTGCTAGCTGCTGGTACTTTTGCTTGAAAAAATTATTACTCTGATTCTCTTTTTTTAAATCCGCTAAGATGGAAAAATGCACTACTGCTAGTGTTTGTAATGACAGAACCGAGGGATAACGGGAAAGTGCATCAGCCACCCTATTTTCTTTTCCTGGCTTATATACTATAGAATATTGAAATCCAAGTAATTTAGCCAAATAATATTTTTGTTCAGGGGTTTGAATTACCTGGTCCAGCAAGGCACGTAAGCTTTTCTGATCGGTTCTGATAAGAAACTTCCTTCCAAGTAGATATTGTCTCCATTTCTTAACTGATTCAGTGATAGCATAGAGTTCGCGTACATATGCAGAAGCTTGTTGCATCCTTAAGGTCAGCTTCTTGCTAAAATATGAAATAGGGTGCTCATTTTGAAGTAACACTGCTCCTATGCCCAAATCCGATGCATCTGTCTCCACCACAAAATCCTGGTTGAAATTGGGAAGAGCTAATACCGGAGCTGAAGACATTGTTGTCTTTAAGTGGTCAAAGGCAAGTTGGGCTGCTGTCGTCCAAAAGAAGGAATCCTTCTTTAATAAATCAGTAAGGGAAGCGGCTATGGCATCATAGTTACACACAAATCTCCGATAATAACCCGTGAGGCCAAGAAATCCTCGTAACTGTTTGAGATTCTTTGGTGTAGGCCATTCCAGCATGGTTGTGACCTTAGTGAAGTCCATACTAACCCCGTCGGCAGAAACAACATGGCCAAGATATTCCACCTTAGTTTGAGCAAATGAACATTTACTCCTCTTTACATAGAATTTATTATTCTGCAGAGTAGAGAGTACCACTTGTAAGTGGTGCAAATGAACATCCATGGAAGGGCTGTATATTAGAATATCGTCAAAAAAAACAGCAACAAACTTTCGGAGATATGGCTGTAATAGCAGGTTCATTGTTGCTTGAAATGTTGATGGGGCATTTGTCAACCCAAAAGGCATTACAAGGAATTCGTAATGACCTTGATGAGTCCTAAAAGTCGTCTTGTGAACATCGGAAGGGCAGACCCGGATTTGAAGATAACCTGCTCTCAAATCCAGTTTAGAAAAAATGTGAGCTCCCCCTAGCTCATCCATCAACTCATCGGCCGTAGGAATAGGAAATCTATCCTTGATAGTGATGTTATTTAGGGCCCGATAATCAATGCAGAAACGCCATGTCCCATCCTTCTTTTTGACTAAAGGAACAGGTGAGGAGAAAGGGCTAGTGCTGTTGCGGATGAGGCCAGAATCCAGCATTTGCAGCACTTGTTTTTCAATCTCACTCTTCTGGAAATGAGGATATCGGTAAGGTCGTACATTGACAGGTGGTACATTAGGCTGTAAGTGTATCTCATGGTCTAGTTGCCTATGTGGTGGCAACTCTTTAGGCTCCTGAAAAATGGTATCAAATTCCTCCAACAACAGCTGCACGTGAGGATCTATTTCAGGTTCTTGAACACTAACAGTAGAGTCCAGCAAGGTTAGTTGGTATAGTGAGGCCACTTGGTCAGAATTCTGGATCTTTCTGAACTGATTAATTGAGATTGGATTGGTGTGCTTGTCCCCTTGCAATTTGATAACTGTGTTTTCCCATGTAAATTCCATAGTAAGTTGCTGATAATCCAGCACTATAGGCCCCAAAGCTTGCATCCATTGCACTCCCAAGACCATATCGGATCCCTGTATAGGTAAAACATAGAAATCTACCAAGAAAATGTGTTGCTGGATTTGAACTGGGACAGCTGAGCATAGTCCCTCACATTTTAAGACTTGTCTGTTGCCAACCATTACATCAAATTGTCTATCTGTAGTCATGGACAGATTAAGAGTGGAGACTACTCTAGGTTGCAAAAAATTGTGGGTGCTGCCCCCATCAACAAGCAAGGAAAGTTCGGATTTCCCAATATGACAAGTGAAACGTACGGTTTGTGGAACAAGGAAGCCAGAGAGAGCATGAAAACTAATATAGGGAGAGTCTGTGTTATTGGTTTCTACTTCCAGTATGGAAGGTTTAGGTGTATCTAAGGGTGGTGGTTCAGGTTCACTAAGTTCATCATCTGGGACAATGAGGACATGGATTGAAGCTGTACATTTATGACCAGAGAAGTATTTATCTCCACAATAGAAGCATAACTTCTTTTCTCTTCGTTCCCGAATTTCACTTTGGCTAAGACGATGGATGGGTGTTTTGGTCTGGAAATTGGATGTTACAGTGGTTACAGGTTTAGGATTGGGTATTTGAGTGGTTGGTGTAGGTAAGAGTGGTGGGTATGGGGAGTGTAATTTGGGATATGTGGATTTGGTTTGTAGTTTCAGTTCCTGGATCTTGGCTAAGGCTA